ACATTCAGGAAAGGTTCTGAAAATGGGACTTTTTTGTTCTATCACAAACATGAGGACGTCTTCATGTTCGTGTCTCATCGTTTCTGCTGCTCAAAAAGAGAATGAAGTTTTAAATACTTTTCATGTTCGACCCACAGGATCCAGAGCTGCGAAAAAAGAGGTTAAAAAAGTTTCAATCCTGGTTTTAGAATCGTTTCGTGTCTTAGTTCGTGTCTGGTTCTCTGTTTGGTTCGGTGTCGTTTGGTTCGGTGTCGTTTGGTTCGGTGTCGTTTGGTTCGGTGTCGTTTGGTTCGGTGTCGTTTGGTTCGGTGTCGTTTGGTTCGGTGTTGTTTGGCGGAGGTTCGTCAGTGGACACAGCAGAGCGACTCTGCTCTGAGTCTGAGGAATGTAACAAGTCTGAACAAGCAACACACCACAACACAGGACAGGGATTAGAACCTCACCTCACACACACACACACACACACACACACACACACACACACACACACACACACACACACACACACACACACACACACACAGCACACACACACACACACACACAGCACACACACACACACACACACACACACACACACACACACACACACACACACACACACACACACAGACACACACACACACACACACACACACACACACACACACACACACACACACACACAGACACACACACACACACACACACACACACACACACACACACACACACACACACACAACACACACACACACACACACACACACACACACAGACACACACACACACACACACACACACACACACACACACACACACACACACACACACACACACACACAGACACACACACACACACACACACACACACACAGACACACACACACACACACACACACACACACACACACACACACACACAGACACACACACACACACACACACACACACAGACACACACACACACACACACAGACACACACACACACACACACACACACACACACACACACACACACACACACACACAGACACACACACACACACAGACACACACACACACACACACACACACACACACACACACACACACACACACACACACACACACACACACACACACACACACACACACACACAGCACACACACACACACACACACACACACACACACACACACACACACACACAGACACACACACACACAGACACACACAGAACACACACACACACACACACACACACACACACAGACACACACACACACACACACACACACAGACACACACACACACACAGACACACACACACACACACACACACACACACACACAGACACACACACACACACACACACACACACAGACACACACAGACACACAGACACACACACACACACACACACACACACACACACACAGACACACACACACACACACACACAGACACACACACACACACACACACACACAGACACACACAGACACACAGACACACACACACACACACACACACACACACACACACACACACACACACACACACACACACACACACACACACACACACACACACACAGACACACACACACACACACACACACACACACAGACAGAGACAGAAGTCAGTCCGTGAGTCGACCGTGTGCAGTGAAGTAAAGACACTGATTCTGACTCAGAGTTTTACAGGGAAGAGGAAGTTTGTGGAAAAAAGTAGAAAATAAAAGTGGAGAAACAGTGACTGTGTGTGTGTGTGTGTGTGTGTGTGTGTGTGTGTGTGTGTGTGTGTCTGTGTGTGTGTGTGTGTGTGTGTGTGTGTGTGTCTGTGTGTGTGTGTGTGTGTGTGTGTGTCTGTGTGTGTGTGTGTGTGTGTGTCTGTGTGTGTGTGTGTGTGTGTGTGTGTGTGTGTGTGTCTGTGTGTGTGTGTGTGTGTGTGTGTCTGTGTGTGTGTGTGTGTGTGTGTGTGTGTGTGTGTGTGTGTGTGTCTGTGTGTGTGTGTGTGTGTGTGTGTGTGTGTGTGTCTGTGTGTGTGTGTGTGTGTGTGTGTGTGTGTGTCTGTGTGTGTGTGTGTGTGTGTGTGTGTGTGTCTGTGTGTGTGTGTGTGTGTGTGTGTGTGTGTGTGTGTGTCTGTGTGTGTGTGTGTGTGTGTGTGTGTGTGTGTGTGTGTGTGTGTGTGTGTGTCTGTGTGTGTGTGTGTGTGTGTGTGTGTCTGTGTGTGTGTGTGTGTGTGTGTGTGTGTGTGTGTGTGTGTGTGTGTGTGTGTGTGTGTGTGTGTGTGTGTGTGTGTGTGTGTGTGTGTGTGTGTGTGTGTGTGTGTCTGTGTGTGTGTGTGTGTGTGTGTGTGTGTGTGTGTGTGTGTGTGTGTGTGTGTAAGAGCCGTGAAACTCTGGGCTTCTCATGACCTCCTGACCTTTGCTTTACAGCTGAGATTTTTTAAAATAACTTTTTCGATTTTATTTTGACTCGTTCCTTTACATTTATATAATTATGCCTCTTATTTTCTCTCGACTTCTTTAGAATTTATTATCACCATTTATATGTTTGACTCTGTTTTTATAACTAAATAATAATAATAACTAATAAAAATGTGGTATTTGTATTCATAGATTTCATACTTCTGTATCTGGACCTTTACTCAGCAAAAACTAATCCTGTCTTCCACACTTCCTAGACTCTAACCCCTGAAAGACTGACTCAAACTAAACTCTAAGGCTTTTGGACATGAAGGTTAGTACGCACCAGTTTAGACAGTATTTATAGACTATGAAGGTCAGTACGCACCAGTTAGTCAGCATTTAGACACAATGAAGGTTAGTACGACAGTATTTATAGCATTTAGCACCAGTTAGTACGCACCAGTTAGTCAGCATTTAGAGACTATGAAGGTTAGTACACACCAGTTAATCAGCATTTAGACACTATGAAGGTTAGTACGCACCAGTTAGTCAGCATTTAGAGACTATGAAGGTCAGTACGCACCAGTTAGTCAGCATTTAGACACTATGAAGGTTAGTACGCACCAGTTAGTCAGCATTTAGAGACTATGAAGGTTAGTACGCACCAGTTAGTCAGCATTTAAAGACTATGAAGGTTAGTACGCACCAGTTAGTCAGCATTTAGAGACTATGAAGGTTAGTACGCAACAGTTTAGACAGTATTTATAGACTATGAAGGTCAGTACACATCGGTTAGTCAGCATTTAGAGACTATGAAGGTTAGTACACATCGGTTAGTCAGCATTTAGACACTATGAAGGTTAGTACGCACCAGTTAGTCAGCATTTAGACACTATGAAGGTTAGTACGCACCAGTTTAGACAGTATTTATAGACTATGAAGGTCAGTACACATCGGTTAGTCAGCATTTAGAGACTATGAAGGTTAGTACACATCGGTTAGTCAGCATTTAAAGACTATGAAGGTTAGTACGCACCAGTTTAGACAGTATTTATAGACTATGAAGGTCAGTACACATCGGTTAGTCAGCATTTAGAGACTATGAAGGTTAGTACACATCGGTTAGTCAGCATTTAGACACTATGAAGGTTAGTACGCACCAGTTAGTCAGCATTTAGACACTATGAAGGTTAGTACGCACCAGTTTAGACAGTATTTATAGACTATGAAGGTCAGTACACATCGGTTAGTCAGCATTTAGACACTATGAAGGTTAGTACACATCGGTTAGTCAGCATTTAAAGACTATGAAGGTTAGTACGCACCAGTTTAGACAGTATTTATAGACTATGAAGGTCAGTACACATCGGTTAGTCAGCATTTAGAGACTATGAAGGTTAGTACACATCGGTTAGTCAGCATTTAGAGACTATGAAGGTTAGTACACATCGGTTAGTCAGCATTTAGACACTATGAAGGTTAGTACGCACCAGTTAGTCAGCATTTAGACACTATGAAGGTTAGTACGCACCAGTTTAGACAGTATTTATAGACTATGAAGGTCAGTACACATCGGTTAGTCAGCATTTAGACACTATGAAGGTCAGTACACATCGGTTAGTCAGCATTTAGACACTATGAAGGTTAGTACGCACCAGTTTAGACAGTATTTATAGACTATGAAGGTCAGTACACACCAGTTAGTCAGCATTTAGACACTATGAAGGTTAGTACGCACCAGTTAGTCAGCATTTAGAGACTATGAAGGTTAGTACGCACCAGTTAGTCAGCATTTAGACACTATGAAGGTTAGTACGCACCAGTTAGTCAGCATTTAGCATTAGTACACAGTTAGTCAGCATTACTATGAAGGTTAGTACGCACCAGTTTAGACAGTATTTATAGACTATGAAGGTCAGTACGCACCAGTTAGTCAGCATTTAGACACTATGAAGGTTAGTACGCACCAGTTAGTCAGCATTTAGAGACTATGAAGGTTAGTACGCACCAGTTAGTCAGCATTTAGACACTACAGCACCAGTTCAGCATTTAGACACTATGAAGGTTAGTACGCACCAGTTAGTCAGCATTTAGACACTATGAAGGTTAGTACGCACCAGTTTAGACAGTATTTATAGACTATGAAGGTCAGTACACATCGGTTAGTCAGCATTTAGACACTATGAAGGTTAGTACGCACCAGTTAGTCAGCATTTAGAGACTATGAAGGTTAGTACGCACCAGTTAGTCAGCATTTAGAGACTATGAAGGTTAGTACGCACCAGTTAGTCAGCATTTAGACACTATGAAGGTTAGTACGCACCAGTTAGTCAGCATTTAGACACTATGAAGGTTAGTACGCACCAGTTAGTCAGCATTTAGACACTATGAAGGTTAGTACGCACCAGTTTAGACAGTATTTATAGACTATGAAGGTCAGTACGCACCAGTTAGTCAGCATTTAGAGACTATAAAGGTTAGTACACACCAGTTAAGACAGCATTTAGAGACTATGAAGACAAGTAGACATAATTTTAGGATAAATTACTTAAATTGTCTTACAGCCTCAATGTAAAATTAGGTGCATTTCAAACATTTTCCATACAAGGTCAAACTATGTCATGATTCAGATATCACAGACGTACATTTAAAAAAAATCCCAGCTCTGATTTGAACTTTGGTGTTGCTCTAATAATAACACACACTCACACTTCTGCTCTAATAATAAAAGTGTGTGTCATGTGGAGGCCGGTGAACATGATGTTCTGCACGTTCTCAACATGTTCCTTGTTACACTTTTCCTCGGTCTGTCTGTCCTTCGTCTGTTTTTTTTGACCTTTAACCGTTTTATTTTTTCCGTGAGCACTTTCAGTTTTGGCCACAGACGATGAGGTCACTTCCTGTCAGCGCGTAGAGGAACAGGACGTGTGGGCGGAGTCAAACACGGACTCCTCTTTATGCAAATGAGGCACCGTGTCATGACCCGATCTGAGGCACCGTGTCATGACCCGTGACCCGATCTGAGTCACACTGTTCAGGTTTCGACTCCAGAAATAATCAATGTTCAGCCCCACATCAGCTGCTGGAGCTTTGTAGTATTTAAAGCTGCACTGCGTAACATTTCTAGAACAGATTAAACCGATTTATCACCAGGGAGACGAGACGAGCAGGTCACAGCAAAAGGCCACGTTACAGGTCAGATCTAAACGATATTAAAACTAATATTGAAACTTGATCCTCATTTTTAACAGGTATCGATACTAAAAAGTCCCACTGACAGAACAGAACCTTTTCTGAAAAAAAACAGGACTAAACTTGGACTAAAATTGGACTAAACTTGGACTAAACCAGGTCTAAACTTGGACTGAACCAGGTCTAATCAGAGAATTAGTATTTCAGACGAAAGTAGTTTTGCCAAAAGAATCGAAAATCCCTAATTGATATTAAAACATGAATCAAAACTAGATCCTCATTTTCCTCCGGTCTGGATCCTCAAAAAGTCCCAGTGACAGGACGGAGCAGAACCTTTAGAACCTTTAGAACCTTTAGAATGAACTATAACTGGATCAGAACAAGTTTAAGAGCACATGGACCTGGTTCAGACCTGGTTTAGTCCTGGTTTAGTCCTGGTTTAGACTTGGTTTAGACCTGGTTTAGACCTGGTTTAGTTCTTGTTTAGTCCTGGTTTAGACCTGGTTTAGACCTGGTTTAGTCCTGGTTTAGACCTGGTTTAGTTCTTGTTTAGTCCTGGTTCAGTCCTGGTTTAGACCTGGTTTAGACCTGGTTTAGTTCTTGTTTAGTCCTGGTTTAGTCCTGGTTTAGTTCTTGTTTAGTTCTGGTTTAGTCCTGGTTTAGACCTGGTTTAGACCTGGTTTAGACATGGTTTAGTTCTTGTTTAGTCCTGGTTTAGTCCTGGTTTAGTTCTGGTTTAGTCCTGGTTTAGACCTGGTTTAGACCTGGTTTAGACCTGGTTTAGTTTCTGGTTTTACACATGGGAACAGAAAAGAAAGTTCATTGATTTAATGTGAAAAATCACAGGAAATTGTGTAAAGAAAGAGGATTTTAATTTTCATCCTGGGATCAGAATCAGAATCGAGTATCGAGTCTCGAGTATCGAGTATCGAGTATCGAGTATCGAGTATCGAGTATCGAGTATCGAGTATCGAGTCTGGAGTCTGTTCGTTGGTGTTGAGTTCAGTTTCCTCCAGGTGAGTGTGACGTGTGACGTGTGACGTGTGACGTGTGTGTGTGTGTGTGTTTCAGATGGCAGCGCTGAGCCGGTGGAGGACACAGACACCACTTGTTTTGTGGCAGAAATTGTGAGTTTTTTAAAAGTTTTAAAGTTTTACATCAGTGTTTCCCAAACTTTTTTCTGGGGATTCATATTTTAAAAGTCGGTTTAAAACTTTCGTGACTCAAGTCAATAAACATTATTGTTAAATCACAAAATAAAGTTGGATTTTTTCATTACTGAACATGAATGAGGAGATTTGATCATGTTTCTGAACATTTGTACTTCAGTTTAAACCATGAAAAACCTAAAACAGAAACAAAAGGATCCAGAAGCCTCCTGGTCCTCCTGGTCCTCCTGGTCCTCCTGTTCCTCCTCTTTCTCCTGTTCCTCCTGTTTGAACTTTAAATATAGAACATTTCTTTTTCTTTTCAACTTTCTCTTGAAACAGCAAAACTGGAACAAAATAGTCAATAAAATATTTACAAAAAGATTAGAAATGATGCAAACATGAGTTAATATTTGAACATTTGAACATCTGTAGTGAGATCAGAGTAAAAGCCTCAGAACTTGTTCTTTAACTGTTTCCCTTTAATGACTCTGATTGAAATAAATGAAATCAAACAAAGACAAAGGAAACGTTGCTTTGTCTCGAAATGACATAAAACCACCTCAACTTCCCACGAGCTTTTCACAAACAAAGTTTATACTTTTATTTATAGTTTGATTTATTTCCTCCAGAACCTCCGCACCTCGACCCGAATCCCTCCGCAGAACTTTTTTAAACAGTTTCTTATCAATTCTTCATAAAAGTTTCTATATCCAAAGGACCTGGAGGCGTAAGGTAAAGAACATGGTTGGATCTCACCGGGTCGATCTGGTCCTCAGCTCCGTGTCCGAGCTCAGGTCACTTCAGAATCCGTGTTTCGTCCTTCAGGCCCCGAACAGCGCGAGCGGCTCCGCGGTGAGGCGGCGTGCGCGCGCTCCACGTGCACGTGTATGTCCCATAAGACAGGCGCGTGTCAGCTGATCAGCTGATGACGTAAACAACAACAAAACAACAGAGAGAAAAACAACAAAGTTCAGAAACAAAGAAAATGAATCTTGAACAGTTTATGTTTCCTGAGCGACACGAGGACATGTGTGTGTGTGTGTGTGTGTGTGTGTGTCTGTGTGTGTGTGTGTGTGTGTGTGTGTGTCTGTGTGTGTGTGTGTGTGTGTGTGTGTGTGTGTGTCTGTGTGTGTGTGTGTGTGTCTGTGTGTGTGTGTGTGTGTGTCTGTGTGTGTGTGTGTGTGTGTGTGTGTGTGTGTGTGTGTCTGTGTGTGTGTGTGTGTGTGTCTGTGTGTGTGTGTGTGTGTGTGTGTGTGTGTGTGTCTGTGTGTGTGTGTGTGTGTGTGTGTGTGTGTGTGTCTGTGTGTGTGTGTGTGTGTGTGTGTCTGTGTGTGTGTGTGTGTGTGTGTGTGTGTGTGTCTGTGTGTGTGTGTGTGTGTGTGTCTGTGTGTGTGTGTGTGTGTGTGTGTCTGTGTGTGTGTCTGTGTGTGTGTGTGTGTGTGTCTGTGTGTGTGTGTGTGTGTGTGTGTGTGTGTGTCTGTGTGTGTGTGTGTGTGTGTGTGTGTGTGTGTGTGTGTGTGTGTGTGTGTGTGTGTGTGTGTGTGTGTGTCTGTGTGTGTGTGTGTGTGTCTGTGTGTGTGTGTGTGTGTGTGTGTGTGTGTGTCTGTGTGTGTGTGTGTCTGTGTGTGTGTGTGTGTGTGTGTCTGTGTGTGTGTGTGTGTCTGTGTGTGTGTGTGTGTGGGGGGGGGGGGGGGCACTTTGGGAAACACTGATCTGTTTTATCCAAAACTGAAACTGTGACATTAAACTCATGTTCTTCTGTTCTTCTGTTCTTCTGTTCTTCTGTTCTGTTCTTCTGTTCTTCTGTTCTTCTTCTGTTCTTCTGTTTCTTCTGTTCTTCTGTTCTTCTTCTGTTCTTCTGTTTCTTCTGTTCTTCTATTCTTCTGTTCTTCTGGTCACACTCAGAGTTGGACTTGTGTTTGTTTGAGTAAATCTTTATTCTGAGTCTGTTTACGTCTCCAAACGCTCTGCTCCACCTTGTGATGTCATCAAGTGGTAGTTTAAGTTCTCAGCTCCTTTTCTCTTTAGTTCAGTCGAGATCAGAAACTCCAGGACTGAAAAACTGATCCAGATGATTTTAGTGAAGGTGTGTGGAGTTTAAAAACAAGGTGGAGCACGTCCTGTGTCACCACATGATGACATCACCAGGTGGAACAGAGTGTTTTCAGTTTGAGAGAAAAACACAACTCCAGGTTTGTTTCATGATTTTACTCCAAACGCACAAACCTGCTCCTGTCGACCCAGACCCGACCAGTTTAAGACCTGGTTCAGTCCTGGTTCAGTCCTGGTTTAGACCTGGTTTAGTCCTGGTTCAGTCCTGGTTCAGTCCTGGTTCAGTCCTGGTTCAGTCCTGGTTTAGTCCTGGTTTAGTCCTTATTCTGTCCTGAGTCCGGACTTGCCCAGGTTTTAACTCGGGGGCGGGGCTTATCCTTTCCTCGCGCTCTCAGATCTTCAGTGATTTTTACAAATCCAGAGACAGGCCCAGACTAGTCCTGAACCAGGACTGAACCAGGACTGAACCAGGACTAAACCAGGACTAAACCAGGTCTAAACTCAGATGTTGGAGAGTGGAGTTTGACTCAGATAAAATGATCAGGAGAAAAACATTTGTGGATTTGATTTTTGACTTTTGGAGATTTAAAAATCCAGAGAAAGACCCAGACCTGAGCCTGAGGTCCGAGTGAGACCTGCTCGGACCAGGACCTGGGTCTTCGTGTGGACTTTTCCCGTCTCGGCCTCGTCTCTGACATGTTTGTGTTTGTTTCAGTCTCTGGAGCAGAACTACCCGGTGCAGGTCACAGATCCTCACGGTGAGTCTGGACCAAACTCTGGATCTCAAACTCTCAAACTGCTCCACATCTAGAGACACATTCAAGAGGAAATGTTCTGCAAAATCCACTTTGAACCTTCTCTCATGTTCTAATGTTCCTCATCATGAACCTGCACTGCAAAAAGTTTAACTATAAACACTTAAATCAATCAGAAAATTAGTTTAAAGATTTGAAAAGTTGTGTCCAGGCAGAAAATCATTTTACTGAACAAGTTTTCTTCAAATAATCGACTCCAGACGAGACTGAAGCGTCTCTGCTCAGAGCTCATGGGCTGGAAATAAGTTTATGAGGCTCAGTTTGAGATAAAATGCTTTAAATTCTGCTAAATTCAAGATAAACGACCAACGACCAACGACCAACGACCAATGACCAACGACCAACGACCGACCAACGACCAATGACCAATGACCAACGACCAATGACCGGACCAACGACCAACGACCAACCAA